TATGATAGTTTGAAAGTATCCTCTATAGTCTCAGGAATTTGAATACTTGATCCCAAGGTGGTAAAATTGTTTGGAGAAGTTGAGGAGATATTGTAATGTTGGAGGAACTATGTTACTGGATGACCAGAACTCACAAGAATAAGGGTGGGAGGACTGGGGATTAAAGAATAAAGAAAACAAAAAAATAAAGAAGACAAAAAGCAGCCACCGACACAAGGAGGTCCTAGATTAGCTGGTGACTTAATGCTGCGCAAGATTAAGAAATATAGAATTATATATACTATATGCAGGGGAGAATAAAAAGAAGAAATCACACCCAAAAGGAGTGGATGGCAAGAAAAACTAAAATTCGAGGCTGAAATTGATAGAACAGAGAAGAAATCCAAAGAATCAACGAAACAGAGTTGGTTCTCTGAGACAATCAAATTGTCAGACTTGTATCCAAATTAACTAAAAGGAGAAGGGAAAATGTTTCAATTAACAAAATAAAAAATAAAAAGGAAGATATAACAACAAACACTGAGGAAATACCTGGAATCCCAAGGATATAATTTTAAAACCTGTATTCCACCAGATTGGAATTGTCCCTCAACAGAAGAATGGACAAAAAAATATGGTACATTTATACAATGAAGTATTACTCAGCAGGTGAAAAAAATTACATCATGAAATTTGTAGGCAAATGGGTGGCACTAGAAAAAAATCATAGTGTTACCTGTATGCTTGACTCAGAAAGATAAACGTGGTTTGTATTTGCTGATATGTTAATATTAGCTGTGAAATCAAGGATCACAAATCTAAGTCTAAAGAACTACACACAGGAGTAACAAACTAGAAAGAAGAGATAGACCTCCTTTAGGAAGATAAATAGAATAGATAGCCACTGTCACCTTCTTTAATGATGAGATAGTTACACTAATAGATAACCAACAAAACTTGGTCTCTTACCCTCTGACAGAAGAATATCTGCTAGCTGAAAGTTCTGCCTCCTTCCAAAAGAAACAGGTGAACTACCTCTCAGAATGAAGACAAAGATTTTTAGGGATTTGGGCAAAAACTGACTCCCCAGGACTGGCCCAACACTAAGAACCTATAATTACATAACTAGGAAGTACAGCTACCCCTGTTAAGATTTAAAACTGAAAAAAAAAAGATTTAAAACTACCCAATGACCCTGAAAAAAAGGAAATTGCATTCCATACTGCCTGTCTTGGAAAGATAGGAATCATGGTGCCAGGCCAATCACACTGAAACACACCTCTCTTGCATGTGAAGTAACCCAGAACTCTGAATCTCATGAGTCTGATTCCTCCAGAAAAACTGATGTACACTTTCTTGGACCTGAAGGATTCACTTCTCAACCTCCTATTGGAAAACCTGAGTCAACACATCTTTGATTTTAAATGGGCATACCAAAAGGGAGGTTACAGCAGGCAACTTACCTAGACCAGGGATCCCCACGGATTTAAAATTTTTCCAAACCTCTTTGAACTTCTGCCCATCAGTCAGAGGTTTCAGAGAAAAATAGATTATAAAAGTGCCACTGAGGGACTACTTCAAATATTAGCGAGCTAAGATAATAGAATCTCAGCTATGAAAGCTCAACTTTATTTCTCAGGGGTTACTTAATCTTAGCTTTCAGCTGAAGGGAGGCAAAAGGCAACCTGGTTATGAAAAGTCATCTTCTTTTGTTGTTGATGGTGGTGGTGGTGGTGGTGGTGGTGGTGGTGGTGGTGGTGGTGGTGGTGGTGGTTTTTGAGAGAAGATTTCTCTGTGTAACAGTCCTGACTGTCCTGGAACTCAATTAGTGGACAAGGCTGGTCTCAAACTCACAGAGCTCTGCCTGCTTCTGCCTCCCAAGTGCTGGGATTAAAGGCATGCACCATCACCAACTGCCTGAAATGTCATCTTCTGAGTAATGCACAGCCATTGCAATCACAAAATCTCAACATGTTGATGAGTATAGAGGATGAATAGCCAGAAATGGATGGAGGAGGGTCACAGACAATCCATTACCCCTCACTGATAAACTGCTTCCTAGCTGTAGATTCAGAGAGGAAAGAGTCATTTCCTCTATTGTGTACACAGGGGTAACCGACCAGGCTCAAGAGCATAGTCTCAGTCCAATTGTCACATATAGATCTCTGATTAAATGAGTCACAGCCCACAGTCATGAATATGGAAAAGTGATGGGACAGGAACATGTTATGGACTTCCTAACCCTTGGAAAAGTGCATGATAATCCAATTATAATTAAGAGGATTGTTGATTATTGGTAATAGGACAACAGTATCTTAGCCAAACTATAGAATGTCATGAAAAGGGGGAAAAGGGAAGGACTTTTAAGGGCAAAAACCACAAGAACATTGGTATCTGCACAAGCTAGCCAGAAGCTCTTTTGCTCTTCTAAAACTAAATAATCAAAGCAACCTCAAAATGGTCCTTGACTGTCTACATAAGCAGGAAACAGAAGCCAAAAAGTATGTAGTAATATCATAAGAAGGTGATATTTACTGTACATTTCTGAGTGAGGGTCACTGAGTCAGGCTTCCTAGGAAATTATCTTGCATGAACTGGAGTCAGAGACAAACAACTAGGAGTTACCGAGATGGATGCCTAACAAAAAATGGAGTAGTTTCTTTAGTCATTGCAAAGGGATGTGGTTTTTAAAGAGAGGGAGGTATATAAAAAATGGTGTGGGGAGAGGATAGGCAAAATGCAATATATACAAGTAGATGATTATAAGATATTGACAAAGAACTAAGTTATTTAAAAAAAAAACATACGACACAACTGCAAAGGATCTAAGTCATACAATCATTGCCAGCATATCATTCCCTCTCATGATGGCATTGAAAACACTGTGTAGCCAAAGGAGGCCTACAATGAGTGTTTCCCCTGCCTGCATCTTCTACTTAACAGGAACTACCTGTGTTCTTATTTTGTAATTTCTTCCTGTATCATTTCCATCCTTAGTCCTAATATGTAATATGTTGCTGTTCTCTTTCTGTAGTCTCAATATGGCAATGAGGTCACTGATTTAGAAAGGCATTTTTTGTATTTATTAATGGTTTGGTCCAGGAAACCATAACAACCCAGACTTTCTAGGAGGCCCTGATGAAAGGACAAAGGGAACTTTAGTTCTGTCTCCTCATCCAAGATCAGACAGGAAGCCAGTCTGACACTGGGGCCATTGCCTCCTAGGAGATGAGGCTGCAGGTCTATGGATAGAACTCTGCCTTCCAGGCTTGGTTCTTATCCTAGCGGATCTGACTGATGTTCTCCATGGTTTCTTTCACAAAACAGACTTGTCTCCCTGCTAACCTTGCCTTTTTCCCTACTGCTCATAGTATATGAGACAGTGTGTTTCTTAATAAATTTCTGTGGTGTAAGGCATAACTTTTCCAATATCTCTCATCTAACTATTGATTTTCTCCTCTTTATTTCTTAGACTAGTGTAGGTGGAGGTGTTTTTGGTCCTGCCCAGCCCTGCAGACCCTGCAGCCACTTATAAAATAATCATTTAGAAGCTTATATTAATTAAAACTGTTCAGCCATTAGCTCAGGCTTACCACTGACAAGTTCTTATATTTAAACTAACCCATTTTTATTAATCTATATGTTGCCACATGTTCCATGGCTTTACCTGTGTGCCCTTACATGCTGCTCCTTAGGTGGCTCACTGGCATCTCCTGACTCAGTCTTCCTCTTCCCACAATTCTCCTTGTTTGCTTATCCTGCCTATACTTCCTGCCTGGCTACTGGCCAATCATCATTTTATTTATCAACCAATCAGAGCAACACATTCATAGCATACAGAGTGATATCCACAGCATTTCCCCTTTTCTCTTTTTTTTCAAAAAGGAAAGTTTTAACTTTAACATAGTAAAATTATATATAACAAAACAATTTTCAAGCAAGAATTACAGTTACAATATCTAGTCTATTTATATTTGGCAAAATTAAAGAAAATATTCTATCTATCCTATATTTGTTAGTCTAAAGTATATGTCTAATTTATCTTTTATCATAACCAAGGAAAATAATTTTAGCTATCTAGTCTTCAACTACATCAAAGACCTCAGAATAATATAATACTATCTAAGTAAACAGGTAGAGCATTGTAAGCAACTTAGACTAGGTCTTTCCGCTCAACTCCTCAATTTTCAGGACCCTTATTCATGCTTGTTCAGATCAGTTCTGAATTACTCTGGTTCATGCTACATTATATTAAGGTGGCTTCATCATTCAAATTTCAGCTTTATTGAGATATAATTGACAAAAGGTGTATATTCAGGGTAAAAATGTTTAAAATTTTTACATGCGTCTTCATGTGTACATGTGTTAACAATGAAAAAAGAAATCCTGAATTTGAAGGAGAGTAGAGAAGGATCTATGGAAATGTCTGGATGGAAGGAAGGGAAGAGAAAAATGCTGTAATTATAGTGGAATCTCAAAAATAAAAATTAAAAGAAAAACACAAAAAAGAAAACTTTCTTCATTCCTTTCTTCTGTCCTCATTTTATGCATTGGTCACTGACAAAGCATTTGCCTTATTTATAAAATGCAGGGACAACAGAATCAGAGTCCTCAAATTTCTCAGGATTTCCTAGAGACTGGTCATGTCTGCACTATGACTGTGCACCTGAGACAGATCTTGTTTTCTGGCATCCCTGAGTCCTCCCTCTCCCACATAATGCAGAGTGTGATCTCCCTGGATTGGTAGAGGCCAGAGTATGTTCTCAGGTTGGACTTTTCTGCCTGGAAGGTGGGAGGTTCACATGTTCCTGTCTCTGGGTCACGATGCACAGCTGGGCATAGGTCACATCATGTGGCTCCTCTGTTGTAGCAGCCTGCAGTGGGAAAGTGTAGAAGGTCTATGTTGGGCACTGGGAGCATGGGGCACTAGAGAAGTCAGGACCCACCTGCTCATCTATCACTTGATTTCCTTTTGAGGCCAATAATTCCTTTGGCATGGGAGAAGAAGAGGTGATCTCTGACCTTCTGAATCTTGAGGGCTTCACTTGGGCATACAAGTCTTTGGAGGGGACTTCCTCATGTTGGCTCTGCAGCAGAGAGACAATAAAACAAAGGGAATTGATGTGGTGTCTCAGGATCTCAACACATACTTCCACAGGGAGCAAGAATGATACTTCAGACATTTTTATCAAACAAAACTATTGCTGAAGGGGTCTTCTGAGACTTTCTAGGGACTATAAGAGTGTCTGCCAGCTACTTCTCGGTGTTTTTGAAATATTATCCTGACATATTGATGTCCTCTCCAGTGCTTCTATCTTTTGGAAAGAGAATGTCCATACCCTGAGAATACTTGGATCTACCATGCTCCATACCTAGATGTGGAACTTCATCACAGGTTTCTATGAAACTCTACTCAGGCTTCTCCACAGAAGGCTTCTTTCAAGTTCCCTTAAAATTCAAACTGATCATCTCTGCCTCACATAACTCAACCCATATCCTCTTATATATTTCCCTCAAACATTTTGCACTGCTCAGACTCAGTTTATCTCCATATCATTTCCCATCTGAGCTGGTCACAATGGGTAGAGAGTTCTGCCCCTGGCTGTATCTGCAGCCTTTACAGAAGCATGGTCAAGAGGGAGACACGGGGGCTGGGGAGAGGAGTCAAGCAGCAGAGTGGTTGCTATGCAAACATGAGCACCTGAATTCAATCCCCTGTGCCCATTTTAAAAAAAGGCCAAGCAAGAATTCACATGCCTGGGACTTAATTGATGTTGAGGACGAGAGTGGTGCCCAGTGCTCAGTGGCACCAATCCATCCAAATAAATAGCACCATGGACATTAAGAGAGTCTGTCAGAGAAAATGAGTTGGAGAACAATAGAAGAAGACATCACATCGGATGTTGAACCCTGTCTTCTGCTTGTGCTTAAACACATGTGCACACGTGTTCTCAGGCACATGGATCTCACTTACTTGTGTTTCATGTTCATTTACTTGTTAGTTTTATCACTAGAGTTTAAGACAAGGCCTTATACATCTAAAGTAATCACTTTACCATTCAACTACAACTTATGACCCTCATATTCTCTTCTGAGCCTCTAAAATCACTTTAGAAACCAGAGAAATGTTGAGGATTCAGAAAGTTGGGGCCATATTGTCAAAGAAAACTAAGAAAGAATGAGGTCATAACACACAGAATATAGAAGCAAAGAGCCAGCTGTGGATGATACTAAGGGCTGAAAAGGGGGAGAACAGAGATTGCTTTGGCATTATATTGGGTAATAATATCTTAGCATTGTGGATAAGCAATAGTCTCACCAGGACATCCAGCTCCATGCTGTCTGCAGGCTGTGTGACCTTCACAGTAGCATCTGTCATAGCAAACATGCAAGTTTTCCCCTGACCAGATTTCCAGGACATCTCACATCCCCAGACCCCTGCTATATCCCAGATATGGAAAGAGAAGATGTAGGAGGTGAGGGTACATAGAGAGGGTTCAGTGTCCCAGGCCCTCCTCCACCCCTATGATGCTGAGGTCTCAGATATCTCCCTCCCAGGTCCTCTTCCTCTCACACAAGATTTCTTCCTGGATGGCAGGAGCTGGTTTGGATCTGTGGAAACAAGAGGGTGTCAACTGACAGCAGGTTAGGTGGAAGTCAGGCAGGTTAGGTCGGTATTTTTGGGCATGAGTTACCTCTTCTGGAAGCCTTTGCCCTTGTTCGCTGAGTCTGCAGGATGTTGCAAGTCAGTCTTTGTCTGGACTGCAAGAGAGGAAGGAACCTCAGCCAGGAGGGTTGAGCCCCCTACCTAGCACTTTCAGAAAAAGAAGGGACCAACTCATTGCATGTCTGTTAAAATCTTCCAGTAGATGGAAAAGTCCATACAACAGAGTATATTGCACACATTTCCAGATCTCATTTTGTGTTGAGATTCTGCAGAAGCGTTTCTAAGCTCATGTATCCCAGTCTGGGCTTTCCCTGGGGCTGATGCCCTGGGTCCCTGCTTGGATAGCCCACAGTGGGACCCACCACCACCTGAGACCCAGGCCTCCCACACCCTACTCACCTCCCTTCCTGTCTTTCTTCTGATGTCTGAGTCTGAGGAAAAGGAAGAAGACGAGGAGGAAAAGCAGTAGGAAGAATGCCACAGAGACACCAATCATAGCCTTTTGGTATCCTTCCAGTTCTATGAGACAGAGGAAATCATGAATGAAGAATTGTAAATTAGAACATACTGTGTGAGACTGAAGAGGCTATCCTAGAGCCTTCATGGGTCTGGACTAGGTCCTCTGCACGTACGCTATGGTTCTTAGATTGGTGTTTTGTAAGGGACTTCTGAGAGTGGTAGTGCAGGTGCATCTGACACTTCTGCCTGCCCTTGAGACACTATTCTTCCTTCTAGTCTCCCTCACTGGCCGTGAGGTGAGGGTTTCTGCCGAATATTATGGGATCATGTTGTGCCATGTTCAGTTAAGGCCCCTAAGTGGTCTTCTCTTCCTGGGGGAGACGGGACAGGAGTAATGGTGTGGGGAAGAGTGGAGGTGTGTGGGGGAACTCAAAAGAGTGAAGTGAAGGGAAGTGTCAATTGGAATGTATTGTACTAGAGAAGAATCAATTAATCAATCAATCAATACATACATACATACATAAACATAAAAATTACTGTGTGAATACCCATTGTGGACTGTTTGCATTTACTACCTATCATTCTTATAGCCATGCAACATGGGGACCATCTCTGAACACGTCCAGTAGTTTTTCCTGCCCCAAAAGATACCCAGAGAGAAGGTACATTGCTGAGGATTCATACCCAGGTGTCTGTCCTCCCACCAAGTTTCCTACACTGGAGCTAAACCTCATGAAGTGGAAGGAAGATCCTGAATATTCTGCCCTAGCCCTGTACCAAACTCTGACACAGTGTCACCAACACAGTGCCGAATGAGGCAGAACAGGATTCTAGAGTCTTTCTCTGTAAGTAGATGAAACAGGTAAGATCAACATTTAAAAGAACTTAATGTCTGTGCCAGGGACCTCCCATTTACACTTGGAGAGACTGAGAACCACACAAGACAGGGGCAACTGAAATTTTATGTTTGGCATGTGACTCTCTAAACAGCAGGGCTCAATTCTGGGAAATGAATGGGCAAGGCTTACCACTGGTGATGTTAAATTCCAAAGGTCTCTAGAGATGAGTGAAGTGGACTAGACAGGAACTGTAGTACCTGTCACCCACTCCAGACAAGAATGTACCAACCATGTAACTAGCTTGATGCCCCTGGACCCGCCCTGCAGTAGAGTTCTTGCTAAGACCTCTGCTGTCAGACAGAACAGGGATGAAGAGCTGGTGTTCTCGGCCTGACACAATGCGATGGGGAAAATATGGAGAATGAGGCCTGCTCTCATTTTAGGTGCTTCAGCCTGGGACAGATCAAAATGTCACTCTTCCTCAGGATGCCTCTGCTGCAGCCTAGCTTCTGAGCCTCTGGGTGTCTGGGGACCCTATTGGGATCTCTGCTTCACACCCAGTAGCTTGGTCACCATTCAAACTGATAAAGGAATGAAGACTCTTGGGGACAGAGACTCTGCACACACTCAGGGTGAAACAGCTTGCCTAGACCAGAAAATCTAAAACCTCTATAGGAATGGATTTTTGGACCACAGGAGACTGTGGGAAATTTGTTGGGGGAATGATGTGAGGAAGGCTACACTAATTATCTCATCTCTTCTCAGTCTTATATCTACACTACACCCCTCCAGCACCTCCCAGCTTCCTCCCTGGAATCTCCTGGATTGCCATGAACAGGGTGAGATGGTCATTAATTAAGAAATCTCAGTTTACTTCTTCATCTCTGCATAGGTCAGTTGTCCTGGATTATCCTCTGAGCTCACAAACGTCTGAGTCTCCTCACCTGAGAATATGATCTCCACAGGAACACTGGCATGTGACAGCAGGTAAGGGGATGAGTTTTGAGAAGCAAAGCACATGTAAGAACCCCCAAAGGCCAAGGTCATAGCACTCATGGAGAATTCTGCCTCATATTGTAGATCTTGAGACTTTGCTCTTCGTTGCATGTAGGGATGGGCTGCACCTTCCTTGAACAGAAAGAATGTGTCCACTGGGACTGATGATTGACACAGCAGGGTCACATTCTCTCCTGAGGACACAGTAGTGCCTGGATGCACTGAGAGATTGGGTGTGACAGGAAGGTATCCTAAAGATAAAAAAAAAATAAGTAACTGAAGGGCTACAGTCATTGCTCTAAGCCCCCTCTTTCAGAACCTAGTCTCTACATTTTAAAAGTCAGTGCCTTCTCCACTCTCTTTTTCCTAGACCTATTCCACCCTGAGATGCTCATCATCATTTCGGTGATGAGTCCCAGGTGTCCACCAAACTAGGCCTGTGCTGAGATGGGTCCATACTAAATGCATGACATTCCTCACCTGTGATCAGGACGTCCAGAGGGTCACTGGGGGCTGACCACTCAGGGAAGTTATATGAACCATAGCATCTATACCGGCCTCCAGTGGAAAAATTCACAAAACCTAGGGTGAAGTTGGCATGAAAATATCCAGCTTGAGGCTGATGGACAGAGACCTGGTGGAGGTCACTTTCCCCTTCCTTGGACAGAAGAAATCGGTCATAACTTATCTCTGAGGAACACCGAAGGGTCAGGTTTTCTCCAGGGCCCAGGACAGGGCCGTGTTGGGTCACCAGGGAGGGCTTCCCTGACAGCCCTGGAAGGAGGATAGACAGGAAGTCATTCAGCTGGCTCTTCCAATACATTCCATATCCCATCCTGCTCTGACACTGCCATGGCCTTTCATACTCTAGGCCTTATCACTCAAGAGGTCCCTTCAGCCATCATGTGGACCCAACCCCTCCTTGAGGGTTCAGCAGGGCATATGTCAAACGGTTTCTGGTGTCAAACAGTTGAGTGAATGAAGAGACTTCCTCACCTGAGACATGTATCTCCAGAGGGTTACTGGACTCTGACCACACATGTGAGTTATTTGTATAATATCCATAACATCTGAAGGGACCACTCTTGCTGGCCGTCACGGAGATCTCAGGAAACAGAGCTAGGGACTGTCCGGTGTGTGTCGGCTGTGCCTTTTGGGACCTGGAGAACTTCAGATCTTCCCCAGTCAAAATGAACCCATCATATCCTTTGGATGAGACACACTGAAGGGTCACATTCCCACCAGAGGTCACCACAGGGCTGGGAAAAGCTGACAGAGTAGGTTTTCCATGGTGGACACCTAGAAAAAGAGGACAGAGCCTGTTAAATGGTACATTGTCTGCAGCAGCTGGGCTATGGCTGAAAATGTTTACAAATGTATTTCCTGAGGGAAAATGTAGAGGGCATAATGTACTCATGCTCACAAATAATATGGGAGAAATCAGAAATGTTACTCAGGTAGTGTGTCTGCTCAATGGAGGAGATAAATACCTGTTTTCTATTAAGAAAGCTAGGAGTGCATGTTGTTAATACCCAGGTGACCTTTCCATCTGTAGATCCAAACCTCACCTGAATCCCTCAGGATGTTTATTGCAGACTCTCCCTCCCTAGACCTTTATCATTGGCATTCAGTTAAGGAAGCTCATCCTTTGGGGAGATGTCACATACACATTTTAGCCTGCTGGCATTGGCATTACCTCAGTCAGAGACCATACAAGAGCAAAGGCCCTTAAGATATGAAATCAATCTTCATGTTCAAATGTACTCTGATTTGAGTTTTGATGTAATTAGGCCTAGTTGTTCACTAGAATTTCGATTATACCAGTAATCTTTTTTTTTTTTTTTTTGCAGAATTGTTCTGTGTTTAAATTTGCTTGCAATAAGTGACCTGGTTTCGGACCTTTAAGAGTGTGAACTGGCAACTACTATGTCAGCCTGATCTGAGATTTCCTTATTACTTCACGTGGGTCATTTCCCTGCAAGCCGCAGAGCTTTCAGGGGCCCCCAGGGGAAAATGTAAGGATTTATACCCTTAGTGTCCACTCACCTGTCACCACCAGCTCCAGGGAGTCACTGCGCTCTGTCCACCCTGCAGATTTATAAGAATAACAGCGATATTGTCCTGCATGATGCTTTTCCATGGATGCTATGGAGAACATGGCCTTGTTACCAGAATCTTTGGGAGTTTGACTGTCCCAGGGTGCTGAGCTTCCTTCTTTATATAGGAAATATATTTGGGTTTCCTTGGTCCCCTCACACCAGATTGTCACAGGATTCCCTGAGGTGATCACAGAGCCTGGCTCAGCCCAGATGCTGGGTTTCTGGAGCGTCCCTGAAAAGAGTTAAGTGAGAAGGATGTGGGACTTTAAACAGTTGTACAGTGAATGTGAAACTCAGACGTGACCCTGGAATAACAGAAGGACACATGGAACCATCTGGAGATCCATCTCTCTGCTAACCTACCAGGTTCCATTCTCACAACACCCCTCATTGGTTTCTGTATCTTGACTCCCATGGTCTGGATCTGCATCAGTGGACTAATGGACCTGTCCTTTCCTTAACTCATCACACATTAGGGTCTCCTGGGGAAACCTATTTCAGGTCCAACGTCATTTAACAGAGAGGCTGGGGCTTCCTCTGAGACTAGATGCTACAGTATGTCATGACCTTCTGACAACCTTGAAGATTGCTAACCTCCATTTTTTACTGAGTGTGACGGGACGCACTTGGACCCTGGCTGGAGAAAGCCCGGTGTATGCATATTGTAAGTACATGAAGAATTGTTTATCCTTAATTAAAATGAACCAGTTCTATCTCTGATTTGAGATACATGAGAGGGTCACAGAGCCTTCTAAGAATACAACAGGGTTTGGCAGTGTAAACATGGCGGTTTGTTGTAGACACCTAGGAGAGATACATATGGAATATTAAATGGTTCACACAGTCTGGATTGTCCCTCCGACCTGACTAACACATGGGGATATATTCAGAGCACACCCTTATCTTAAGAGTCACATCTGGGGATCCACATGACTCCAGACTATTCAGTCACCTGTTACCACCAGCTCCAGGGTGTCCCTGCATTCTGACAAGACAGCAAAGTTGTGAGAGTAACAGTGATATCAGCCTGTCTGCAGTGTTATCACAAGGGATGGTGAATTTTGCCTTATTGTTGCGATTCTTTGGGGGCTGTATCTCTCAGGGTTCCAGGCTTCCCTCTTTGTGTAGAACATATGTTTGGGTTTTTCAGGTCCCCTTACACCAGATGGTGACAGTATTCTCTAACGTGATCACAGAGCCTGGCTCAGCCAGGGATACTGAGGGATTATAAAGGGCCCCAGCAAAGAAGCAGAAAGAAAAAAGGTGCATCTGCTAGGAGAATTGCACAGAGAAGGTCACCATTGCAGGGACACATAAGCTTATCTGCAAGAGCAGAAGGACACATAAACACCAACACTTTCCCATGGAAATTAAATTACATCCTTAATATCAACCCTGGTTTCTGTTCCTCAGGTCAAGCTGTATCACACATTCAGAGATATTGCTATCACTAGTTCTGGCTCTCAATCACCCACCACACATCAGGATCTTTCCTGGGATCCTGTGTCAGTTGCAATTATTACATTTAAAGGAAAATCCTGCATTTCTTTACCTGAGACCAGGACCTCTAGGTGATTACTGGGCACTGACCACAGCTGAGAGCTCCTCAAGTAATAGCCATAGCATGTGAACCTCCACCTCTGGTTGGGAGTCACAGGACTCACTGTGAACACGGCTCCAAATAACTTAGGGTGTATATTCTGTGAGGGCAAAGCCTTGGAGAACTTCTCATCTTCCTTCATTAGAATGAACCTGTTATATGTCTTTTGTGAGACACACTGAAAGGTCACATTTCCTCCTGAGGTCACCACAGGGCTGGAAAGGGCTGACAGAGTGATTTTGGTGGGGTAAACTCCTAGGAAGAAAGAAGCAGCATGGTAAGTGGAATCACATGGTAAACAATTTACTGTCTTTTGGAATATGAGGACACACTACAGTGAACTTATTCCTTTCCTCAAGAATGGTCCTAGTGTTGGAGAAGTGTCCTCTCACCTGTCACCACCAGCTCCAGGGAGTCACTGCGCTCTGTCCACCCTGCAGATTTGTAAGAGTAACAGCGATATTTCCCTGCATGAAGCTTTTCCACAGATGTTATGGAGAACATGGCCTTGTTACCAGGATCTTTTGGTATATGACTGTCCCAGGGTGCTGAGCTTCCTTCTTTATACAGGAAATATATTTGGGTTTCCCTGGACCCCTCACACCAGATGGTCACATCATTGCCAGAGGCAATCACAGAACTTGGTTCAGCCCATAAGGTGGGTTTCTGAAGGTTCCCTGCAGGGAAGTAGGTGAGAAGGAGATGGGACTTTGAACAGTTTCACAGTAAATATCAAGCATGCTGTTGATCTGAAATTTACCCTTAATTAGCAAAGGACCAATAATGTCATGGGAATATTCATTAGTCTCCTGACCTTACCAAGCCCCAGTCTCACTATGCCCCCCCTCATTTTCTGTACAGTGGCTCCCACAGTTTCCATGCTGTGTCAGTTATCTCAGGAGCCCTGATTCCACAGACATATCACAACCCTGGTCTTCCCTGGGAACATGAGTCAGGTGCAACACCATTCCACAGAGAGTCTGAGGCTTCCTCACCTGAGACCAGGAGCTCCAGGACGTCACTCCCTTCTGACCACACCTGAGGATTATTTGTGTAATAGCCATAGCATCTGAACCTCCACCTCTGCCTAGAGGTCACTGGACCCACTGGAAACTCAGCCAGGAACATCCCAGTGTGTGTGTATCTTGTGATCTGAGGGATGGAGAACTTCTGACCATTCTTTGTTAAAATGAACCAGTCGTATCTCTGACTTGAGGTACAAGAGAGGGTCACAGACCCTCTTAAGTTTACAACAGGATTTTTCGTGATTGACAGGGTGGGTTTGTTGTAGACTCCTAGAAGAAATACACATGGAAAATTAAAGAGGATCACAAAGCCTGAATTGTCCCCCATGGCTGCCCTTTGATGGGAGGTACTGTTAGTGCAGTCTTTTCTTGAGAGTGATTTCTGGGGTTAAGATTTCTGGTGTCTTCTCACCTGTCACCACCAGCTCTAAGGTGTCACTGCGCTCTGACCATCCAGCAGAGGTGTAAGAGTAACAGTGATATCGTCCGGCCTGCACTTGTGTCACAGATGGAATGGGGAGTTTTGCCTCAGTGTTGTTGTCTGTTTGAGTCTGTTGGACCCAGGGCTCTTGGATTCCCTCTTTATATATCACATACATTGGGGCTCCCAGGGTTGCCTTACACCAGATGGTAACAGGGCTCCCTGAGGTGATCACTGAGCCGGGATGAGCCCAGATGGTGGGTTTATGAAGGATCCCTGCCAAAAAGTAGAAAAGAAGGAGGTGCATCTGTTAGGAGAATATCACAAAGAAGTTCACATTTGCCGGTGACATCTAAAGTGATTTGCAATTATAGAAGGGCACTTAAAGACCTCACTATTCCCTGGATTTTGAATTCCACTGTTAATGAGACCCCAATTTCTGCATCTGAATTCAAGATGTACCACAGATCTATGAGTCTGAGTTCAGTAGCTGTACTTGGAGATCACCCACAACACATCAGGTCCTTTCCTGGGATCCTGTGTCAGTTACAATATCATTCAAAAGAAAGTCCTGTACTTTCTTACCTGAGACCAGGAGCTCTAGGTGATTACTGGGCACTGACCACAGCTGGGAGCTGCTCAAGTAATACCCATAGCATGTGAACCTCCACCTCTGGTTGGGGGTCACAGGACCCACAGTGAACAGGGCTCCAAATAACTCAGGGTGTATATTCTGTGAGGGCAAAGCTGGGGAGAACTTCTTATCTTCCTTCATCAGAATGAACCTGTTATATGCCTGTTGTGAGACACACTGAAGAGTCACGAGCCCTCCTGAGGTCACCACAGGGCTAGATATGGCAGACAAGATGACTTTGCTTGAGTAATGTCCTAGGAGAGAAGAGAAAGCCTGTCATGTGGACTTACATGAAAAGCATTTTTCTCCTTTCTCATATTTGAGAAAGGAACTCTCAGTGAACATATTCCTTTCTTTAAGGCAGAATCTGGGGTTAGTAAAGGTTCTCTCACCTGTCACCACCAGCTCCAGGAAGTCACTTCTTTCTGACATACCATTATTGCTTTTATATTCACACCAGTATTGGCCTGCATAGTACCATTCAACCGAAGAGATAGAGAATGTGGCTTTGTTTTCAGTTTGTAAAAGGGTTGTTGGTATTGGGTAATCTGGACTTCCTTCTTTGTAGAGAACATATTCCTTGGCCTCTAAGGGCCCTTCACAGAAGAATGTCACCTGGGTCCCAGTGGCTACCACATTTCTTGGCACTGCCCAGAGTGTAGGTTTAGAGAGGGCCCCTGAAAGATAATTGACAGCTGCTTTCCCAGAACTCTCCCTCAGGTGTAAGCTCTCAGAACCAGGAAATCTAGTCATTCCCCAGCATCAGGCCACACCTGCTGTTCACCATACGCTCTGTTCATGAGTGATGTGTGGTCCCCAGTAAGGATTCCAAACTGCGGTAGCTGAGAAGACACTCACCTGCCAGTACTGGGATCCTGAGGTCCAGACTCAGTCCTGCAATAGAATTACCTGTGAGTGCTTGAAATTAAACAAGAGCAGGGCCTCCACTCCCAGGTCCCTTCTGCAATTGCTGAGACATCCTGATGGCCCAAATCATGGTTGTGAGGTAGATTCCCTCATAGAAGAGAATCCTCCCTCCCCATTTGGTATCTCACCGAGATACAGCAGGACTGTAAGAAAGGGGTTCATGGTCTCTTCCAGTTGCCACAAGTGTGCAGATGATTGGCCTCTGTTCCAAACACACACACACAGACACAAAATGTGTGGCCTAGGCAGGCTGGTTTCTGCTTCCTGTCATAAGGATGTCATACTGGCAGCGCCTGAGGAAGAGGAACTGCTCTAACCAGGCGCCTGACTCTTCTTTTCTTTCTGGTGCTGTGATGGGATGGGCTCCAGAATTTGTGGCTTTTGTATCTCTGTGGATCTTTAGTTTTTCTTTTTGTTTCTTTGACAGAACCTCTTAAAATTCATGTGGGTCTCAGACTCCTCCTCCTTCTCCCTCAGCTTGCTGTGTGCTAGGATTTAATGCCCAAACTGATTGTGGTCACTTCCTGCAGAACATCTCCACTGTAACCCTCTACGTCGGCCTGTATGTTCCCACTCACCACAGACCAGGACTTAATGCAAAATAAACCTGGTGACTTCCTCAGCCAATACTTTCACTTGGGGGACTCTGCGGTGGTTGGTCTTTTTCTCTGAGTTTCTTCTTGGTTCTTCTTTTCTTTATCAGTCCGACCAAACTCATCACCAGTTTCCTAGCCTGCCTGGCAGATGCTTTGGGAATGTTGTATGAATTTTAACTAGGGACACAAGAACAATGCCTACACATGATACATGAGACACCACTGATAGAAGCAAGGACAAGACTCCACACAAACCTAGCTGGTGAAGCAATGAGTTTTATTAGGGTTCCTTAAAAGTGTGTTGTCAATATTTGGGCTTTTTGGTATTCAGTTTTTGTTTTTTTGTTTGCTAAGACAGGTTCTCACTATGTAGCTCTGGCTGTCCTAGAACTCACTATGTAGACCAGACTAGATCCACCAACCAGTCTCACACCCAACTGTTGAAAACAGTGCACTCCACTATGCCCAGCAATTTTGAAAACTTCTCAGTGGTTATATCCCTGAAAAAAAAATGTTTTGCCTACAACTTTTAACTGCCAATATTTCTGATGGGAGGGCAGTGACCTTAGGAGCCTCTACACCATAATGGAATATTCATGGGGCCAATCTTGTGCAGGTGACCTGTGTGTAATCACAGCTACAGAGGCTCACAGGACAAGAGTACTCCCTTGCCTGGGGAGCACTGTTCTACAACACGGGGAGATGCAGGCTGATGCTGCTGGGATCATACAGAACAGAAGGGACACACTGAGCACCTGATCCTTCAGAGCCCCTTGATGAACACAGGGGAGACATCCATGGAAACGGAGAAGGAAATGTGGTATTCTCGTGGCTCTGACTGAGTCTATGCTAAATAATTGCTGATGATTCATGTCATTTTCTTACCAACATACATGATTTCCATAGCAACAACCTCTCAGCTGTCTTTCATCTTAAGTGTTCTTATTTTATTGTTCAGAATCCTTCTAGTTTTTTGTGAAGGCTGAATTTAAATTAATGCCTGTTCATCCCCAAATGTTCATTCCAATTTAAATGGTGTTGGCATCTCAACTATGAGCATCAGCACCATCCTGATTGTCTAATATCACCATCAGTTTCACCGTCCTTGTGAGTCCAGGCGTTTTTGTGACGTTGATGTTTCAGGAATGATGAATTTTCAGACTTTTACAATGTATTTCAGGTACAAGAGTGTTTTGGTCGTGTAAATGTTATGGTTAAAGGGCCCCTCTCTGCTCTCCTGCTTTGGAAATGGTTACTAAATTAATTCTAAACTGTGAAGGTCATCAAAATCAGGAGCTGAAAAGCAGAAGTGAAAACTAAAGTTCCCAAAATGCAGAAGGTTCCGTGTTCAAGAAAAGAGGCTATTGATACGGGGGGCGGGGTGGGGGGGTTGGTCCTGCCTCAACTTGATATGCCAGATTTTGTTGACTCCCAATGGGAGTCCTTACCCTCTCTGGAGAGTGGATGGAGTGGTGGGAATATGGGCAGTTAGTGGGAGGAAGGGAGGAAGGGGGAACTGTGTTTGGTAAATAAAATGAAAAAAAAACTTTTAAACAAAAAAAAATTAAAGATAATTTTGGCTACAGGGAAAAAAAGAGAAGAGGCTGGCATTGATCAGTCCCTGAACCTACCCCTCTTAAGAATCATTGTAGTGAGACCTCCTCCTCTGTGGAGTTCGAGGTAGGGTCAGGACTCTAAGAGAATTTTGGTAGCTGTGTATGCTCTGTGCTCTATCTGCAGATGGGTATTGCAAGAGCTCACATTACTGTCTGGTGCCCACAGTGACAGTAAAATAGATTAATTCCTACTTTTACCCACACCTATATTGTCTCATGTGTAGGGATCAGTTTTGTTGTGGGATATTTGTACACTGTGTTAAAAGATTTTGCTGTGATTGGGATAATGAAAAGCTGAATGGCCAATAGCTAGGCAGGAGGTATAGATGGAACATCTGGGCAGAGAGAGAACTCTAGGAAGAAGAAAGGCAGAGTCACAGCCAGACAACAGACACATGGAACAAACTGGAGCTGCAAGATGGAAGAGAAGTTACAACATGATAGCTAGGTAGGAGAAATAAGCAGGATTTCCAGGGAGAGAAAAGAAGAGGAGGAAGAATCTAAGCATGCAGGTTATGCCAGAGAGATTCCAGGAAACTCAGAACAAGTCAGAGGTACAGAATAAAAAAGAGGTAACTGAGCCACATGACATGATGTAGATGAATAAAAATGGGTTAATTTAAATTACAAGAACTAGTTAGGAACAAGCCTAAGATATAGGCTCATCTTTCATAATTAACAAAGGTCTCCATGTTAATTTGGGAGCTGGCTGATGGGCCAGAGAAAGACTCCTTACATGGAGCATCCAATGTGAAGGCAAGTATTTTCACATAGGACACGTAAAAGCTTTTAAAAAGTTCCAAACATGGAGCCAGATGTGGCTTCCTAGCCCTGCAGTCTCTTGGGTGACCACTGCCTGCTCATTTGAGCCAGTCAGCACCGTGTGCAGAGCTACATGGTGGGTTTAAACTTTCTGTGTTTTCGGAACAAAAAGGCCAGACACCAATAAAGACAAGTAGCCCAGGTGATCCAGCCTTTTAAAATGTTTCTGTTGCAGTTTCCTCAAAATTCTGCATCCAGAACAACTTCAAAGCTGCTAGAGAGAGCTCAGCCTCACAGAATAGTCCAGCCAGACTTTAGATAAGCTTTACATTTTCCCATCACACAGAGACTGGACAACAGCTAGCTCTCACGGGATTTGACCATTATCTTAATATTCTCAGGGTCCCCTAAAGATTACATCACCTGATGCAACAGGAAGCAGTCTAGACAATACAAAACCCATGTTTCCAAGATGTGAGGTAGGTGGTTTTGTCATTTGGTGGTTTATGGATGTTTGTCATCATTTGGGCAGTTGGTTGTGAATTATTACTGGTCATAAAAAGGAAGGAAACTAAGCAATGGAGGTCAGATTCAAGGATCTCTTTATGAAAAGAAAAAAGGGGTATATGGGAATGATAAAATAAAAGGATAGATTACTGAACCTATTTTTAGTCTAAAAAGCTCTCAAATATTTTAGTCTCAAATATTTTACATTGGTATGGATTTTTGTAAATTGATACAAATTTAAAATTATTTTGCTACATTGTATATATGTTTCTACTCTTCTTTAAGGTATTTGTACCTATGCAACTCATTAAAAATGTAATGTGTAATTAAAAAATATACTTAGTAGTTAGTCATCTATAATAATCAAACTTGTAGTCACACTAAGTATGTTTTCAAGGTTATATATATTTTAGATAGATAAATGGTCTTCAAACACTACAGAGACCTATAGATTATGGAATTTAAGATGTTTTAATAACCTAAGGATTTTCATGACAGTGAGACATGTTAGCTCCTGGCAGCACCAATTTACTTCAAAAAAAGGATCATGGGCATCAAAGAACCTACATATGAAGTTTTCTTTGATTGTGGCAAGGTTATCCACTGGGCAAGAAAATCCTTGTCTTGACTGCTGACAATATGCTATCCAATCAAGACACAAAAGAAAACAAAATTCCTGCTTCGCAGAAATGTCAGATTTTGCAAGCCTATAGGCTGAAGATGGATGCCTCAATGTTGCAGAGGAATCTTGGGGTAACTGTGCAGGTAGCCAGATGTCTTAATCATTTCTATAGTTTTGGAAGTTGGAAGTTGTCTGCTTTGCATATCCTGTTTACTCAGGTAATATTTTATCCTTTTGGGGTCTCTGATGGGCATCAAAGACTAGATAGTTATAGTTACAGTCTTCCTTGCTAACAAATTCAAAAAAACTTACACAAAAGATGAAAAGTTTATAAGGTTGGGAAATATGAAAGCTTACATTATCTAAGATGTTTTTAGTTCTAAAAAGATATTGTAAGGATGATAATACAAGTTATAATTAGAAGGTATTTTAGGTACAAAACTTTGGACTCATCAAGATAAGATAGGTAATAGAGTAATTTGTCCAAATTTGCCAAAAACAAATAGACTGGACTTGGTGAATGTAATTCTTACTTGATAATTGTTCTTTTTTAATATAATTTTTTTATTTTATTTTTTATTTTATTTTTTTAATTTCTTTTTTTTTATTTTTATTTTGCAATACAATTCAGTTCTACATATCAGCCACGGATTCCCTTATTCTCCCCCCTCCCGTCCCCCTCACCTTCCCCCCAGCTTCCCCCCCATTCCCATCTCCTCCAGGGCAAAGCCTTCCCCACAGACTGAGATCAACCTGGTAGACTCAGTCCAGGTAGGTCCAGTCCCCTCCTCCCAGGCCGAGCCAAGCAATCCTGCATAGGCCCCAGGTTTCAAACAGCCAACTCATGCAATGAGCATAATTTTATGTATTAGACTTAAAAACCTTTTATTTAGACAAAAGTGTGAAATGTTATGGGACATTTGAACATTGTGTGAAGATGTATTGCTATGATTGTTGTAATAAAAACCAGAATGGCCAATTCCTAGGCAGGAGAGCTAGACCAGACTTCCAGGCAAAGACAGGAAGATGAGACAACTGAGGCATGAAGAAGATGCTATCGAGATGCAGATCGGGTTGGACACACAGAACTGGAGAGAGATAAAAGCTGCATGGTAGAATTTAGATTAATAAAAATATGGGTTAATTTAAGTT